ATGCCGTATTTACATGTCTGCCACTGTGCAGGAGAATCCGTATAGGTGTTTGAGTGTTCGAACCCTAATGCTTGAGAAATGGTACGTAAACGTCGTATTTACATATCTGCCACTGTGTAGGAGAATCTATCTCGGTGTTCGAGTGTCCGAACCCTAATCGTGAGAAATGGTATGTAAACGCCGTATTTACATATCTGCCACTGTCCAGGAGAATCCGTATAGGTGTTGGAGTGTTCGAACCTTAATGCGTGAGAAATGGTAAGTAAACGCCTTATTTACATATCTGCAACTATGCAGGGGAATCCGTTTAGGTGTTCGAGGGTTCGAACCCTAATGCCTGAGAAGTCCAGGAGAATCCGTATAGGTGTTCGTGTGTTAGAATCCGTATAGGTGTTGAAGTGTTCGAACCTTAATGCATGAGAATTGGTAAGTAAACGCCCTATTTACATATCTGCCACTGTGCAGGAGAATCCGTATAGGTGTTTGAGTGTTCGAACCCTAATGCACGAGAAATGGTAAGTAAACGTCGTATTTGCATATCTGCCACTGTGCAGTAGAATCCGTTTAGGTGTATGAGTGTTCGAACCCTAATGCTTGAGAAATGGTACGTAAACGTCGTATTTACATATCTGCCACTGTGCAGGAGAATCCGTATAGGTGTTCGAGTGTTCGAATCCGTATAGGTGTTCAAGTGTTCGAACTTTAATGCATGAGAAATAGTAAGTAAACGCCGTATTTACATATCTGCCACCGTGCAGGAGAATCCGTATAGGTGTTCGAATGTTCAAACCCTAATGCGTGAGAAATGGTATGTAAACGCCGTATTTACATATCTGCCACTGTGCAAGAGAATCCGTATAGGTGTTCTAGTGTTCAAACCCTAATGTGTGAGAAATGGTATGTAAACGCCGTATTTACATATCTGCCACTCTGCAGGAGAATCCGTATAGGTGTTCGAGTGTTCAAACCCTAATGCGTGATAAATGGTATGTAAACGCCGTATTTGCATATCTGCCACTGTGCAAGAGAATCCGTATAGGTGTTCGATTGTTCAAACCCTAATGCGTGAGAAATGGTATGTAAACGCCGTATTTACATATCTGCCACTGTGCAAGAGAATCCGTATAGGTGTTCGAGTGTTCAAACCCTAATGCGTGAGAAATGGTACGTAAACACCGTATTTACATATCTGCCACTGTCCAGGAGAATCCGTATAGGTGTTCGTGTGTTCGAATCCGTATAGGTGTTGAAGTGTTCGAACCTTAATGCATGAGAAATGGTAAGTAAACGCCGTATTTACGTATCGGCCACTATGCAGGAGAATCCGTATAGGCGTTTGAGTGTTCGAACCCTAATGCACGAGAAATGGTTAGTAAACGCCGTATTTGCATATCTGCCACTGTGCAGGAGAATCCGTATAGGTGTTCGAGTGTTCAAACCCAAATGCGTGAGAAATGGTATGTAAACGCCGTATTTGCATATCTGCCACAGTGCAGGAGAATCCGTATAGCTGTTCGAGTGTTCAAACCCTAATGCGTGAAAAATGGTATGTAAACGCCGTATTTACATATCTGCCACTCTGACGGAGAATTCGTATAGGTGTTCGAGTTTTCAAACCCTAATGCGTGAGAAATGGTATGTAAACGCCGAATTTACATATCTGCCACTGTCCAGGAGAATCCGTATAGGTGTTCAAGTGTTCGAATCCGTATAGGAGTTGAAGTGTTCGAACCTCAATGCATGAGAAATGGTAAGTAAACGCCGTATTTACGTATCTGCCACGAGTGTTCGACCCGTAATGCGCAAGAAATGGTTTGTAAACCCCGTATTAACATATCTGCCACTGTGCGGGAGAATCCGTATAGGTGTTCCAGTGTTCGAACCGTAATGCGTGAGAAATGGTATGTAAACGCCGTATTTACATATCTGCCACTGTGCAGGAGAATCCGTATATGTGTTCGAGTGTTCGAATCCGTATAGGTGTTCAAGTGTTCGAATTTAATGCATGAGAAATAGTAAGTAAACGCCGGATTTATATATCTGCCACCGTGCAGGAGAATCCGTATAGGTGTTCGAGTGTTCGAACCTTAATGCATGAGAAATGGTAAGTAAACGCCGTATTTGCATATCTGCTACTGTGCAGGAGAATCCATTTAGGTGTTCGAGTGTTCGAACCCTAATGCATGAGAAATGGTACGTAAACGTCGTATTTACATATCTGCCACTGTGCAGGAGAATCCGTATAGGTGTTCTACTGTTCGAATCCGTATAGGTGTTCAAGTGTTCGAACTTTAATGCATGAGAAATAGTAAGTAAACGCCGTATTTACATATCTGCCACCGTGCTGGAGAATCCGTATCGGTGTTCGAGTGTTCGAAATCTAATGCGTGAGAAATGGTAAGTAAACACTGTATTTACATATCTGCCACTGTGCAGGTGAATCCGTATAGCTGTTCGAGTGTTCGAACTCTAATGCGTGAGAAATGGTAAGTAAACGCTGTATTTACATATCTGCCACTGTGTAGGAGAATCTATCTCGGTGTTCGAGTGTCCGAACCCTAACCGGGAGAAATGGTATATAAACGCCGTATTTACATATGTACCACTATGGCGGAGAATCCGTATAGGTGTTCGAGTGTTCGAACCCTAATGCACGAGAAATGGTAAGTAAACGCCGTATTTACATATCTGTCACTGTGCAGGAGAATCCGTATAGGTGTTCGAGTGTTCAAACCCTAATGCGTGAGAAATGGTATGTAAACGCCGTATTTACATATCTGCCATTATGCAAGAGAATCTGTATAGGTGTTCGAGTGTTCAAACCCTAACGCGTGAGAAATGGTATGTAAACGTCGTATTTACATATCTGCCACTGTGCAGGAGAATCCGTATAGGTGTTCGAGTGTTCAAACCCTAATGTGTGAAAATTGGTATGTAAACGCCGTATTTACATATCTGCCACTTTGGCGGAGAAACCGTATAGGTGTTCGAGTGTTCAAACCCTAATGCATGATATATGGTATGTAAACACCGTATTTACATATCTGCCACTGTCCAGGAGAATCCGTATAGGTGTTCGAGTGTTCGAATCCGTATAGGTGTTGAAGTGTTCGAACCTTAATGCATGAGAAATGGTAAGTAAACGCTGTATTTACATATCTGCCACTGTGCAGGTGAATCCGTATAGCTGTTCGAGTGTTCGAACTCTAATGCGGGAGAAATGTTAAGTAAACGCTGTATTTACATATCTGCCACTGTGTAGGAGAATCTATCTCGGTGTTCGAGTGTCCGAACCCTAATCGGGAGAAATGGTGTATAAACGCCGTATTTACATATGTACCACTGTGGCGGAGAATCCGTATAGGTGTTCGAGTGTTCGAACCCTAATGCACGAGAAATGGTAAGTAAACGCCGTATTTACATATCTGCCACTGTGCAGGAGAATCCGTATAGCTGTTCGAGTGTTCAAACCCTAATGCGTGAGAAATGGTATGTAAACGCCGTATTTACATATCTGCCACTGTGCAGGAGAATCCGTAGAGGTGTTCGAGTGTTCAAACCCTAATGCGTGAAAAATGGTATGTAAACGCCGTATTTACATATCTGCCACTTAGGCGGAGAATCCGTATAGGTGTTCGAGTGTTCAAACCCTAATGCGTGAGAAATGGTATGTAAACGCCGTATTTACATATCTGCCACTGTTCAAGAAAATCCGTATAGGTGTTCGAGTGTTCGAACCGTAATGCGCAAGAAATGGTATGTAAACCCCGTATTTACATATCTGCCACTGTCTTCAAGAAGATCTAGAATGTACTTCCTTTGAGAAATAAAGATGCCTTTGTCAGATCTAGCAACTTCAATCCCAAGGAAGTATCTTAATGGACCAAGTTCTTTTATCTCAAACTCCTTGGCTAACTGCATCTTGAGATGGGTCACCTCCTCCTCATCATTACCTGTCACAACTATGTCATCCACGTATACAATAAGCACTGTTACCTTATGTACATTGCGTTTGACAAACAAGGTGTGATCCGCATTGCTTTGCTGATACCCAAATCCCAGCATTGCCTTGAGGAATCTACCAAACCAGGCTCTAGGAGATTGTTTCAAACCGTACAAAGCCTTCTTTAATCTACAAACCTTTCCAATTGTAGACTGAGATGAGAATCCTGGAGGTACATCCATATATACCTCCTCCTCCAAATCCCCATGAAATGTCCTTGTGCAATGTAAACTAACACACTTGTAAGGAGATGCTAAAAGAAATAGAGGAAGGGCAATGGAGGACATGGGTTGAGGTGGTAAGAAAGCACGCGATTGCCTCTGAATGAGGACCTGGCTTCTAATAGAGCTAACTGGAGGAAACAGATTCATGTAGCCAATCCCAATAAATTGGGATATAGGCTTGTCAAGTTGAGTTGAGTTGAGATTTTTGCTTTTTTCTTTTCTCTAGCTGTTCCTTAGTATGCACTGTTTCAGTCAGCAGCGAAGGAAGCACAATTGCCAGGTGCAACCTACAGTTGGGTCGTTATTCTCTGTATCCAATTTGATGTGCACTGTCATTAAGAAATAAAAGCTCATGCTTATCCATGAAATCTCTGTGCCAATCAATTACTGTTTACGCTTAAATTTATTGTCTTACAAGTTTGACTTTCTAATTAGTCTTACAAGCGCAACTACCTATTGAACTGATAATCTATGCTACATGGACTCTTCTATTTAGTGTCCACCGGATGTGATAATGATAAGGGTATGAGATATGTGTCTGATACCAATGTTTGAAGAAGAAGAAAGTCACATTTACTTGTAAAAAAATATTTCCATCTTCTCACATGGATGAGAGAGAAATTTAAAATTTTACTCAAATCCTATTTAATTTCATGCACATTTCTATATAATTTACAATATCTTATATTAGAACATTAGACAATGTACAATATATATAAGTGTCCATGGCGTGTCCCCGTACCCATATCCATTTTTGGATACATATCCCAATATCCTAAAATTTAAATTTATGAAAGTCTGATGCTTGGACACATACTCGCACCTGAGTCCATGTAACAGAGACTGATCCTAATGTGCTTGGTTTTCATCTTTCTTGTGGCATAAGTGTTACTTTTGTGTGTGGACAATATTATCAATAGGGTCTGGCCTTTATTTCCTTTTCTTTCCTTTTTTTGTGTTCCTGTTTTCGAACTGCTTTCAACTGGAAAGCTTATTACCAACTAATTTGCTGCTTCTGCTCAGGTAATGCAGTTACGAAAAACATGCAGCCATCCTTACCTCTTCCCTGGTATTGAGCCTGAGCCTTATGAAGAGGGCGAACACCTGGTTCAGGTAGCCCAACTGGTTTACTCAACTGAAATGTAGTTTTGGTGTTTATAATTATCTCCAAATTCCAGAAAAAGAAAAAAAAAAAAAAATGAATAGGATGCTTTTCCCAGTCTTTACATGGAAAACCTTTTTGCTGCATTTCTATCTTGTTTGCTGCTGATTCTGTCTTTTACTCTTTCATTTAGCTTTTTGCTAAGAAAATACCTTTTGACTTTCCTTTCAGGCCAGTGGTAAACTTATAATCTTGGACCAGCTACTTAAAAAGCTACATGACACTGGACATCGTGTTCTTCTGTTTGCTCAAATGACCCATACACTTGACATATTACAGGTGGTTATCTTATTTTCTGAAATTATAATGGAAATTTGTACCAGAGAGTGATACATGCGAGTGCCTAAAATCTTTTGTTATATTATTGTGCAATATAGGATTTCATGGAGTTAAGGAAATATTCTTATGAGCGTCTAGATGGATCAATTCGGGCAGAGGAGCGCTTTGCTGCAATAAGAAGTTTCAGTCAGCAATCAGTCAAAGGGAGTTTTAAGCCTGAAGCTGATCAAAGTGGTGCATTTATCTTTATGATTTCTACAAGAGCTGGGGGAGTTGGCCTGAATCTTGTTGCTGCTGATACAGTGAGCATCACCAATATCTAATCAATTCCCTTTTACTTTCACTAATAAAAAATAAAACAGTTACTTCTTTGTTGCTTTCACCCAAAATGGCTGTGGAAATTCAAGACCACGGATAAGAAAGTGTTATCAAATAAATGTCCTTGGATATACATCCAGACATATCTCTGTTTTCTCCTATTTGCTTTTATTCAATATTTATGTTCTTTTAGTCATATATGCTTTCTGACTACTTACTGATAACACGTAGTGTAGGTTATATTTTATGAGCAAGACTGGAATCCCCAGGTCGATAAACAGGCTCTTCAGCGGGCACACCGGATTGGTCAGATAAATCATGTCTTGTGTATAAACTTAGTTACTGGACAAACAGTTGAGGAGGTGAGATAAGTGAAACTTTTGTTAGAGTTGAAGTTTGTTTCTTCCTTTACAATCTGGTTCCAATGTCAATGTAGGTTATCCTTCGGAGAGCAGAGAAAAAGTTGCAGCTAAGCCATAATGTTGTAGGAGAGGATCTTATGGACCATGAAGGAAAAGAAACAACAGGAGCTGAAGCTGGTGACTTGAGATCTGTCATATTTGGTTTAAATTTGCTTGATCCTACAGAGATGAGTAATGAACAACCTGATCAACTGAATATGTCCGAATTGCATGTTATGGTTGAAAAGGTAATTGCATTGCGCTACAAACAACAATCAGACAAGGATGATAGGAAGTTTGAGGTCAATCCAATGGATCTATTAAATGGACATGACCTTGTGAAAAAAGATCCCACTTCTGTTGCTTATCCTGGTTTTGATGAAGCTTCATATCTCTCATGGGTTGAGAAGTTCAAAGAAGCATCAGAGTCACGTGATAGTCCTGTTTTGGAGTTGGGAAATAGGAGAAACTTACCTGAGGAAAAGCAACAGAGAGCTGAGGCTGCAAGGAAGAATGCAGAGGAGAAGAAAGTGTCCAAATGGGAAGCTCTTGGATACCATTCCTTGTCTGTCAATGATCCTATCTGCCCTCCCAATGGTGATATGATGTCAGATTCAGGTTCTGTTCATTTTGTTTATGGAGACTGCACACGTCCATCAAAAATTTGTCCATCAGATCCTGCAATCATATTCAGGTAAGTATCACTTTTGGAAATGGACCACCATCAAGTTTCATTAATATGTTCATAACATTACTACAGAAGAAATTTATCACAAAAAAAAGAAGAAGAAGAGATTACAGTACAGGAGTACTAATTTTTGACAATTACTCTTGGTATGTTTATTAGTAGTGTTTATTTACTCACATAGTATTTCATGGCACATTTTTGAGTCATGGGAACCAGCCTCTTCACAATCTCCTTTTATGTGGTTCACCAGACAATTTTGAGAGGGGTCTCATTGTGATTTTTGGAAAAAAAGAAGTGTCCCTGTATTTCTCACAAGCCTCAATGGGTGTGTAATTTACCCTGCTGAAGTGACAGATGCTATGCACCTTTAGTACTGGATTGATTTGGTCGTTTTATTGTAAAGCATATGAACCATTGCATGACCTACAATTTTGTTGCAGAATACATTGCATGAAATTGTGTTTGTTATGGGAATGAAATAGTTGGAGGGCTCATGTAGCCCACTCCAGTTAGTTGTGGTTCAGGCTTTGTTGAATTGCAAGGTGTTTATAGAAACACATGACTATTGCAATGACCTTCTCTTTTGTGGCTAAATTTTGTAGTGTCATTTCAAGAACATCGTTCACTACTATATTTTTTATGTAGTAGGAATTACTCCTACTTAGCAGCTGTTATATGTTTCCATAACTAAACTCTTTTGAAGGACGAACATCTTCAAATTTATGGGTCACAGAAAGTACTATCTATTGCCTTGTTTTTCTTCTTTCAATAATTCCCATCTCTTATTATCTATTTCTTTGGCAGCTGTGTTGATGACTCTGGAAACTGGGGCAACGGAGGTATGTTTGATGCGCTGGAAAAACTTTCAGCAAGTGTCTCAAGTGCATATCATCGAGCTTCTGAATTTAAGGACCTTCATCTTGGTGACCTTCATCTTATAGAAATCGAAGGTCAGCTCTTGTTTCTTACTTGCTTGTGTTCAATATTTGTTCTCTCTTTTCTCCCAAATTGCTTGCAATGTGCATTGACAAAAGATATGCATGTGCACGTACGCTTTCACATTCCTTTACATTACTATCATCACAATTTCAACTAAAATTTGACCATTCTTTTTCTTCAACCCCACTTGCAAATTGGAGTAGCAACAGATGGGTAGTGAAGTTGACAAATTGTTTTACCAAATGAAAGAAGCTTAGATAATTTGTTGATTACTGAATTTCACCTATTATTTGAACCTGCCTTCCAAATTTCTGTTATTTATTTGCAAAAAAAATCCTATATGTTTTTGTGGTGGTCATTAGATGGGAAATGTTCAAGTATGTGATACCTTGTATCTCACTTTCACGCAATACCTTATATCTCACTTATCTCCTGGGGTATTGAATAAGTTGTTAAATAAACTGAGATAATTTTTTGCATAAATTACACTAACCTCTGTTGAGGTCTAGACAAAATACATTGAGCTCTACCAGTTTGGCATAATTATATTGAGCACCCTTAAAGTTTTAATTTACACCCTTTCATACAAATTTCTTTAGTCATATGGATAAAAAATGAGGTTATCTCTCTTTTATATTCAAATGTATATTTACCTCGTTCATCCCTGTGTCTTTAGCCCCCTTTTCATAAAAATATTCTTTAGTTGTATGGATGGAAAAATGATGCTATCATCTCTTTTACATTCAAATGTGTATTTTACCTTGTTTATCTCTGTCTACACACCATCTACATTAGTTTCGGTTGTTTTAGCCTTATTAAGAGGGAGGCCGCTGTAATCACGCCAAACTTGTAAGGGCTTATTGTATTTTTCTAAATCTCAAGGGTGTTCATGGTAATTTACCGTATAATTTTTTTGTTATATTGTGAACATTCCTTTTTTTTTATTTTATTTTATATATAATTATTCTTTTCCTAATTTTATTGCCTTTAAACTCAAATTATTTTTGTGCAGAGGATCATGATGAACAAACCAATTATGGTAATGCTCCTCAATGGGTGGCATTGGCTGTTGTACAATCATACAATCCTAAGCGTAAAGTTCCTCGCAGCAATATCTCTATTCCTGATTTGGAGCGTTGCCTATTAAAAGCATCATTCTCAGCTGCCCAAAATTCTGGTATTTGGATTTTGATTTTGATACTCATTATAAAATCATTTTGCTTTAGTTTTCATCAATTTTCTTTCTCCTGATAAATATCATATTTGGGCTAGGTTATGCATTCTTTTCTTATTAAAGCAAACAATTTATATATGCTCCACATTAGATAGAAGGAGAGAGAAAGAAAAAAAGTGACTGAAAACAGTTTTGAAAAAATTGTAAACCAAAAAAATTTTGGGTTTTGAGCTCTCAAAAATTGTTTTCAAAACTAAAACAAACAAGGCCTGGTTGTTCATTATTGCAAGCTAAGGTCATGAAATTGTTTTAACTGATTGTCTAGGAAGAATGGATGTGAACGCGAGACACATATATGAAATGATGTAGACATGTCGACACAACTATTTTGAAAAATCAAGACTCAATATGGAGTTGAATTTTGTAATAAGGCAATAAGTTTATTTATTTTTTTATGGTGACAATAAGGTTGGAATATGGAGAGATAATAGAGATAGAAAAGAGAAAAGAAAGAACACAAAAGTTTAACGTGGTTTAGTGAATATTGGCCTACATCCACATACACACAAAGCCCTAGGAGGCTACATGCTGGTTTGGCATCACCTATAAAAGTTAAAAAGTCACTAAAAAAGCAAAAAAGTTCATATTATTCACCTATATTTTGGCGGGAAATCTGTCGGATAAAAAAAAAAAAAAGTGCAGGCTGTGCAGCCACAAAACAGCAGCCACAATTTCCCATAAAAAAAGAAAACGTGGCACAATGTAAGCCACACATTCTCATAAATAAATAAAAAATTTTGAAAAGAGAGAGAGTCAGCGCAGTGTTGCTGACTGTGCCAGTAAGGGTAATTTGGTAATTTTGATATTTGCTACAATATTTTATTACACATTTTTTTCGTAAAAAGTCAAAAAGTTTTCCCAAACATACATCTTTTTTCCTTTACTTTTTTAGTAAAAAAGTCAAAAAGTGTACTTTTTTAGTTTATCCCAAACACCCACTACATATTTCATTCACACAACTTAATACTCTTGTTTACATGATACATCATATATATAGAGTGGGAGATATAATTAAATCCCTTTAGTTAAGGAATTGAAATAAATCAAATATACAAAAAATCATAATAAGCACAAATCATGGGACCTCTATATATTATGATATCTTTCATATCTTCTAATATCTTTGACAATATGATTTTATCTCCAACACTCTCAAGTTGGAACACGGAACAGTTGTAGTGAAATGTCCAATTTGAACTTGAAAATAGGACGATCATTACAAACAACTACGATGAAGTTGCGGAAAGACAACAACAATTGTAATAACTCTATTCATCGACAACTTCAAAGAACATAGGCAAGGAATGAACATCTTGCAATAGAGAAACGTGCATGGAATTAGTGATGATGGCAAGAGAAATCAATTGAGAGAGAGAAAGCAATAAGGCCGAAGCAACAATAAATCACCACAAACAAAAAGGCCGGACAAACGGTGTCTTATAAAGAATGCTACCGAACACACCAGTAGCTCAAAAACAAAAAAAGAATCAAATATGTGGTTACCACATCAGCACAGGGACAGTAAAAGGATAGAGAAGTAGTTGGAAAACTACGCGTATCACAAAATAATACTACTGAACAAACTGGTAGCTCCGAAACAAGTAAAAATTACAAAGTTTGCTTACCACATCAGCAAATTATTGGTCAACTCAAAGAAGAGAGAAAAACACCTTGATAACAAAAAAGGTGGAGTGAGAAAGCACTCTAGAGAGAAACAAGCATAGGGTTTGGTAGGCACTAATACCAAGTTGAATTTTGTAACAAGGCAATAAGGTTGTATATGAAGAGATAATAATAGAGACATAAAAGAGAAAAGAACACAAAAGTTTAACGTGGTTCGGCCAATATTGGCCTACATCCACACACACAAAGCCTTAGGGGTCTACATCTTTCATTCGCACAACTTAATACTCTTATTTACATGATACACCATATATATAGAGTAGGAGATACATTCAAATCCCTTCAGTTAAGTAATTGAAATAAATAAAAAATACAAAAAATTATAATAAGTACAAATCATGGGATCTCCATATATTATGATATCTTTCGTATCTTTTGATATTTTTGACAATATACTCTTATCTCCAGCACATGGTAGGGACACAACAACAAATAAATATATATATATACACTTGTGAAATTAACAATAAAAATCATTCATTTTTTTACATTACATATACATTTATGTTTTATTGTATCAAAATAATAGAAGATCTTTTTCGACATTCATTATGTAGTGGAAAAGAAGTTGTATATGTTTTATTGTATCAAAATAATAGAACTTTTTCGACATTCATTATGTAGTGGAAAAGAAGTGAGGTAAAAAGGTCTTAATATCTGTTTGAAAAAACTTCATTCATAAACAAATTGGAAGTTTTAAGCATTAGATTTTTAAAATTTAAAGGCTAAAGGAAGAAGGATTAATAGGTTCAAAATCCACAATCTTTTGGTTTCAATTATTGGTTTCCATTATTATCCTCAACCTTGCGATGTGTTTAATGTTTTTCTAAGTGATTGTTTCGTGTGTCTCCCAAGTTGAAAGTGTGTCCATTTCTATATGTATTAAAAAAAAATGATATTTGGACACATATCTGACACGTTTCAAGGTGTGTTTGACATGAAGACACCACCTTCTTTGAAGTTTCCACACTTCTTGGCTGGTTGTTAGTTTAAACATTAAATTTATTCCTTTGTGCTGTGGTTGGTTCATGGATTTGGGTAGGAATTTGGAAAGAGAAAGGGAAAAGGTGTGTGAAATGTAGTTATATTTCATTCACATTTCACTTACATTTTCCCTTGTCCTTTCCAAATTACTACCCAAATGTATGAACCAAACACAACATTAAGGTTTTTATATATTTCTAATGTGCTGTTCTAATTTTAAATTTTAAAAAGCTTCAATCCATATGCCACGAATTGGGTATCAAGATGGATCAGATCGGTCAGAATGGTATACCGTTGAGCGTCTTCTACGGAAATATGCTGCTTTATATGGCATAAAGATTTTTGTGTACGTCTCTCTCAAAAGCTCTCCTGCTATTGTATATACAACCATACGTAACATAATCTTAATTTTATTACTGTCATATTCTGCAGGTATTATTTTCGACGTTCATCTTGAGGCCGGAGGCTGAACAGTGTATTTAGCAATTGCCACTAACATATCCATGGTGTTGTATCTTTTAGATAATTGACAATGAATTATGTTGACTTCATTCCATGTTTGTGAACGTTCCAACTTCACTTTCAATTTGCCGTCTTTGCTTTAGCTGGAGTGTTTGGAAATCAGCCTTGTCAATAGGGTGTTTGAATGCATATTTTCCTTTACAGGTTAGTGCTCTTATTTATGCTTACAAACTGTCATGGTTTAGATGATTCAGAGAGCATCCAATACACTCAAGAAGTATTCGATACTAATGAAAAATTAAAGAAAACTAATTTCTAATTACGAATACATTTAGAAAGCAATGGATATGTAGCTGCAAGTATTAGAGGAGTATCAGTATTTGATGTGAATACAACTCCCCTGGATAAGCATCTTTGCCTTGGTTTATACCCATTTTTTTTGGGTACGGAAACAATAAAGCCAGGATTTTATTTATATCATGATTTCAAAATTAGTTACAACTTTGTAAGGTTAGTTTGAGCCTATTTGGTGCAACTTTCTGCAAGTTAAAAGTTGATAATTAAAAAATAGAAGCGAAAAGCATATCTCTTTCACCTTTTTGATACTCAAATTTTAAGCTTGTTTAAGTTATTTTCGCCTCCTTAACTTTTAAGTAGAAGAAACTGTACTAAAATTCTGACATAGATTAAAAAAAAAAAAAAAAAAAAAAAAAGCTATAGATAGTCTCAATAAATTGTAAAAAAAACAAACAAACAAACTATAGATAGTCTCAATAAGTTATACCAAACATGCCCAAGTATTTGTTTGTATAGCGATCCCAGTTTTCCTCCATTGTATATTGTGTTTCGGACTTAGGTTCCGTAGTTGTTGGTTGTTGCCTATATCTTGTTTTCATCCTTTAATTTCTTGTATTTGAGTTTTGAGATATATTGGGTAGATTTGTAACAGGTTGGGTGTGATTTGAAACAAATGGTTGCTGTCCAGATTTTAGTTTCTTCGCTCGAGCGAGCTTTGTGTTTTAGTTCCTTCGCTCGAGGCAGGATTCCTTCACTCGAGCGAGCTTTGGGTGGTGTGTCTTTTGACTTGAGCGAGCACTCTTGCGCTCGAGCGTGCGTCTGCGTCTCTTTTTGACCCGAAGGTTGTGTTTCTTCGCTCGAGCGAGCGAGCTCTATATTTTGGGTTTCTTCGCTTGGGCGAGAACTCCTGCGCTTGATCGTGCTTCTGGGTTGCAGACCTGAAGCTTCGCATTGTTCGCTCGAGCGACCACTTTTTCGCTCGAGCGAGCCTTGAGTATATCAGTTGCAGCAGCGCATTTCTTCTTCAACTTTTCATTTCTTTTTTCCTCAAAACCCTAGATCTGACTGTTTCTCTCTCTATACACTACTTCTCTCTACAAATACTCTTGATTTAGAGTGTCTCTACCTTAGTCCCTTTGTTAACTTAAAAGGCTTGAGCTTCTCGTGGGATACATTTTGATCCGAAAAGGTTGGGATTTGGAGCATCTTGGATTTTCTCTCTTCTTCTCCTTTGAGCTCTTCAATTTGAGGTAGGGATAACCTACCCCTTTCTATGAGTTTTGACATAAATGTTGGGTATTTCATATAGATGGTGTCTTCAATTGTTAAGCTTCATGTATATGTGAGACCTTGGAAAATGGGATTATTGGTGTAAAATTGAGGAAATTGAGCCTTAAGGCTAAAGTTGAGAAAATGGGAAAAATGCCCTAATTAAAAGTGATTGATTAATTTGTATAATTAATTTGGAAATGTATGGAAATATGAAATTGAGTTGAAAATCATGAAATTGGGAAATTATGAGATTGAATGGTGTAGTTGGATTGATTAATCACTCACCTATGAAAATGATGATAATCTATCTGTTTGATAAATTTATTATCTGTTTAGAAATAATTGTTTTGGGCTATCGGTGGAAGATAGTCTTGATTGTTGTAGACACTGCATTATAATTAGGTAAACTGAAATTAATCATCTGGAATATGTCATTGAATATGACGGTCGGAATACCACTTTGAATATGTGCATTAAATGATCATTGTATATGATAACGTGTTTAAATACATTGCATATGTATTTTTGTTTGAGAGGAGATATGGGATGTACTCCATGGTTTGGGTGGAGATAGGGGATGGACTCTATTGATAATTAAGTTGGCCGGAGTGTCCAGGGTGAAAGTCCCGAAATCTTATATACATCCGAATGATGTTGATGAATTGAAGTTTTACCTTTATGAGTTGTAGTCTCATTTGAAATTGTTGATGATAGAAGTGTTGATAATATGAGATGTAGTCTCGTTTTGAATCTTTGATAATTGAAGTGTTAATAAGATGAGGTGTAGTCTCATTTAAATTGTTTGGTTGGATAATGGACCATGTCTGTGCATTGAATTGGATGAATAAAGAGAAGTGGAATGAAACATGATGTAATTGTTGTTGAGCTGGGAAATGTTGTGAGTTGGTTTATAAGTGTTAACTATTTGTCGAATGCTAATGTTTTAGTTATTTCTCATAATTGGTTTAGCGTATCTCTACTGGACTTTGGCTCACCCTATATGAGACATCATTTTCAGGTACAGGTGATATGCCGTCTCCAAGGATGTAGCTTGGGAAGTTTAGAAGCTGAAGGCTTATTTTTGTTGTTACCTTTTTGTATTATATGTAATTCAAGCTAAGGGCTTAATATGTTAAGAGTTAGAGCTCTCTTTTGTTGTAACCAAGTGTTGACTTGGAAAGTTGTAAGCCCGTAGGGCATTTACTTTTGTTGTTAACATGTAATATTTTTGTAATGAACACTCTGATAAATGAATATATGTTTATTTCTCCTATGTCTATGGATATCATGAATGGTTGGTTTATGTACTTAAATTTGAGGGCGTTACAGTTTGCCATCATGAAAAGTAAAGATTATGGGACAGTCATCGACATCCAGAACCCCCATGTCCATTAGAGAATAGGAACGTAGCTTTGATAAGCAAAACAGGAGTGACAACCATATGTATAGCATATATGACATTAAAGAACCTGAAAGTGGAAACCTAAGCATGAAATCAACACCTACGGCAATTACAGAATAGAACATAGCTTTGATAAGCAAAACAGCAGTGACAACCATATGTATAGCATATATGACATTACAGAACCTGAAAGTACAAACCTGACCATGAAATGAACACATATTTTCTCATAGAGTGTCTCAGAATTGCTTCTGTTTCTGAGATCACAGCTCAAACACCACAGTAGGCTTTGGCAGTGAACTCGGACTGCCGAGACACATCCAAATTATTGAAGAAACTCAGTAATCCAAGATGATCAAATGGCTTGAACTGTAATGGGTGTTCATCATCAACTAGCTCTTCAGGGACTCGTATTGTCCCGGTGTGGTACGTGAATAGCGCTAGGGAGTATCTGGGTTCATTCCCGTTCATGATGACTCGATGTGAAGGAGAGTGTACTCTTCCATTGCTCCATGCCTATGTGAAAATTCAAAATCAAAGATTAAAGGTTTACCAGTGCCACCATACTATCACCACCTCACAACTGCCTCCACCACCTCCACCATCAGTGATGGACCTAGGCTTTTAACATAGGGGGCGAACACATGTACTAATATTTATACATATTTAAAAATGTGGACTACAAAATCAATTTCTACCTACATACAAAGTGAAAATAAGATTAAAACATATATATATATATATATGTAAGTATATTTTCTTTTATCTGCATTGAGTTACAAATGATAACAACTTTAAGATGATTGAGGCATCTTGAGTCGTGCTTGACAATTTTTCATATCTTTAAAAATATATGTAATAGAGTTGACATTAAAACCCAAACAATGTATTTATAAATAAATATGGTTAAGTAACTTATTAACTCTTCCTCTAGTTTCTTCTGCATTTTGGAGGTTATTATTTTTAATGAACAGTAGTTATGAAAAATTAGTTTCTTTTCTCATTTTGTTCAAATTTTTTAATTTTATACTTTGAACCCATGTTTCTGTTATATAACTTGATATACATTGTTGGATCCATTTTTCTAATAGCTTAAACTTTTGGGACAATTAGTGACTTAACATGGTGTATTAGAGCTCAGGTTGAAAGAGATTTTGGGTTCAACTCTCTTCGTTGGCATTTGGTTGTTTGCATCGCTATTTCTTAATAGTTTCCCAAATATAGAGAAGTAGTCACTTGATTTTACTTAATTTATTATTATTATTATTATTATTTTTCTTTTGTTAAAGGACAGGTACTTAAAACTTTCTAAAAAAAAAATCAAGGGCGGCAAGCCTGTATAATTTATAGATAAAATCTATAGTTAATACAACTGTAGTAACATGTTTTCTCATTTAAATTGTTTGGTTGGATAACATAGGGGGTGATTGTCCCCTCTAGGTCCATTCTTGTCCACCACCTCTACCATTGCACCACTGCCTCCACCACCCCACTACCACTGCCACTCCACCACTGCTATCACTACCACCATCACCATTAATACAACCCCTAGCACATTAGTTTCAAGTCGCAAACAAACATAGAAAACATTTTCTATGGAAACTATTTTGAAAAATATTTTCTGTAGGTAACTGAGCTGAAGTAGAAGAGAAGAGAATGACAAATGACTTACCAAGAACGCGTCACCAGCCATGACAACGAAGGATGAAGGCAGGAAATCAATAGAAATCCACACGCCATCCTTAGTCTTAACCTCTAAACCATTAACTTGATTCTGATCAAGTATGGTGATAAAGTTCTTGTCTGTATGAGCATCAGCTCCAATATTAGTCTCCTTCATTCTGGGCACTCTATATTTCATGACTCGAAGGAGGTTAGTGGTTGATTCACTATGAGAGTCATAGTGCTTCTCTACACCATAGCTTTCGAATACCATCCTCTTCACTGTTAGTTCTAGCTCTGATAGTAGCTTTGAATATGAATGCATAGTTTCACTAACCAAGGATCAACAAAAGACCCAAAAAAAAAAAAAAAAGAAAAAGAAAAAAGAAAAAAGAAAAGAAATGAAAATTAAAAAAAGAAACAAAAAAGGTAAAGGTAATTAGGTAACATGAACAAGCATGAGAAAAGAACTAGAAGGATTTATCAGACCAAGAGGAAATACTTAGACAAGTACTCAAAATTTGAAATAAGATTAAATCTATACTTAGGAATGAACTGCTTCATGAACAGTTTAAGCTCGACTTGTTTAAAACTTGTGTGAATTCAACTCATTTGTTTAATGAAGGAGTTTGAGTCAATTTTTTTTGCTCATTTAGTAATTTGAGTCGAGCTCGAGAAGAACTAAGATTAGAATTAGAATTTATATTTTTTTTTCTCTTAATGAGCATGTTAATTTTTCATTTATGTAAATGATTTGACTTAAGCCGAGTTTGAGTTTGTGATGTAGGACAATTAGGGACAGCCACAACAGTAGGCTTTGGGGCTGATTTTACACTATTTTAGGGTGCTGTGAGCAAGCTGCAGGAATTGAAGAAAGAAAGAAAGAAAGAAAGAAAAAGAAAAGAAAAAGATAGAAAGAAAGAAAGGAGGAGAAGAAGATAGGTTTAGGAATCACTCTTAAAATCCCTTAGGCATCACATTTAGGGTTTGATTGCATCATACAACCCATAAAGAAGCTTCAAAGCTCTCTCAACTTTTTATAAAAATATCAACTCCCTCAATTATAAGCATTACAGGGCTTTAATATAGGATTGGGAGACTTCCTAAACCAACTAGAACAAAAAAAGGAAACTACTATAATATCTTAGACTTCCAAAATTAATTTAAGACTAAATAAGAAACATAAATAAAACTTAATTAAATAACTTGACCCACAAGATAACCCATGAGCGACCCATACGACCCATGTCGGCAAATATAAAATTACCAAAATACCCTTAACCTTAAAAATCCTAGAAAACATAAAAATAATAATAAAATAAGGCTAATAATACTAGAAATATAATTATAGAAAATTTTTATTAGTTTCTCTATGAAATTATGCCAATGTCCAAATATCATCACTTCTCTGAATTTAGCTTTCCTTGAACTTCTTATACTTTGCATCAGTTTGTCAAACATTAGACGAGCTAAGCTTAAGCTTGATTATTTAAGCTAGAATTGAGTTTGGCTTTGAGCATGAGCTCGACTAATTTTCAACATGCCGAGTTCGAATGCTTTAAGGAAACATGGAAAAGATAGAAATACAATATTCTGAAATTATTTATTAACATCCTACTTAAATATAGAAAAGATAGAAATACAATATTCTAAAATTATTTGATAACATCCTTTCTCAAACTCAAGTAGACAACTTGAGTTTGTAAAGAACAATTAGAAAATAATAAAAGGAGGGTTGTTTTGATTTTATTTAATATGACATCGGCGATTAATACTGGAGCACAGGGGCATGTGATTTGAGAAAGCTCAAGCTGGAGAGTTTGCAAAGTTTGTGACAATGATAGATGAGAGATCTGGGGAAAAATATGGATAAGAGTGCATGGAAGCGCAAAATAAAGATCCAGAGCGATATTAGGATGAGAAGAGCCAATATATGGCCAAGATCCAATTGGGATTTCTCCCATCAAGGGACCAAGACTAGTTTACAGTCATGGATGGACTAAAGAGTAGTTTGTAGTCATGGATGGATTCCTACCAATTTATAGACATGGATTGACTCTGATTAAGATAAAACTAGACGGAGAAAACTCTGGCAAGAGCACGAGGAAGGTCTGATCAGTGAGAAAAATGAATTTGATAGGTTGTGGATTTTGTAGGTCAAGATTTCTAGTGAGTGGTTTGTTTTGGAGAGGAGTTATAGAAGAGATGAAATCATCAGAGTAAAAGACAAGGAGGTAGTGGAAAGGAGGGTCCAGCGAGCGGGGAAGGCAGGGGTAGCTCATGGGTGAAGCAGAAAACACTGGCCCTATCTATGGCTCTGATGTTGTGTTAGAATTAAGGGATTGTATTGATTTTGATGCTCTAACCAGAAAACACCTCTTCCAATGAGTTAGAAGTAGAAAAAACCATGTATTTTGAAAAGGGTAGAACACCGTATAGATTGGTCCTTAGAAATTGTTTGTACCTATTAGGTTTTGAATTTGAGGCCTTCGAGGGATCACACTTCCAAGCCCCAGGTCTTGACTACCAAGCCAACCCCTTGGGGTTCCTGACAATGAAGTAATATGGTATAAATTTACATTTGGTATATGTGTTGCATCTAGAGTAAATCTGATCCACATATTTCATTTTCAGGATAACTTTTGAAATATTTTGCTTATGAATACTAAGAAAAAATAATATGTGAAAAAAAGTAGATGAAGTTATACCAGAAATGGTGATTTCCAGAAGGCCACATAAGACTAGTGAAAGTTTGAGCTCCTTGAAGAGTTGTTGGTTCATCAATGCCCATGCTTTCGTAGAGAGGAGCACGAGGGCGTTGCACCATATAGCCAAAGAAAGGCTTATCACTAGTGTTTTGGACTTTGGTCTCTTTGGGGAGATCAAACAACTCTTTCAATGATTTAAAAACCTCATTGTGAAGCTCTAATGAAACCTTGTCATACACTGCCACAAAGCAACCATACTCTTCTAGGGCACACTTGACTTCATTGCTTGTTTCAAGCCAAGTGCTTGTACCAAGTTTCAAGTTTTCTTTGGTGAAATCTATGTTTGGAAGCTTTCTAGGCTTTGTTTGGGACTCCATGATCAAATTTAGATGCTTCTAATAAGGTACCACATTGTTTTATATATGGGATAAATTATAGTAAACCTTACATTTTACTCCCTAAAGTTTAAAATCCGCCGGTCAACCCCTTCACGTAACATTGTGTCACTTGAACCGTCCATTGACAATTTGTTAACTACTTACACGCGTGACTAGCATATTATATGACAAATGGAATTTTATATACCCTTTTGTACTTTTATATTTTTATAACAAACATATTCCTATTCAAAAAGCTAATGAAAAATTTAAAAAAAGAGAGAGAGAGAAACTCTCCAATATCTTGTTTGCTCCGATGGCTTCTATAAATCAATCAATATCATTTGTGGAGATCCAAACTGGAAAATGTATACTGAGGGCCGTTTGGTTGACCAGAAATATTAAAATAGATAAAACAATTAAAGTAGAGATGCACAAGAATAGTAAAATCACTTAACAGTGAAGGGTAAAATAATAAATTGACATTTTCGTTAACTACTTCAATTTTGGATACTTGCAGTGGATTAACTGTTGACCTTTAAATATTAGAGAGGTGAAATGCGAAAAAATTATAATTAAAAGGGAATTTATTGTAATTTACCCAATATGTATATATATATATGCATGTATGTATGTATGTATGTATGTATGCTGCAAAGTGAGAATTTGATCTCTCTCAAAATCAGTAATAACAAGACAAATTTGAAACTGTTTATGATGGCGCAATTAAAGGATTGATGAAGGGTAAATCTGTCATTGACATTGTATTTTTTTCCTAGCTTAGATGCTTATGAGATGGAAAATATTATAAAATTGAAAGAATAAAAAAATGCAAAATGGGCTCATGAAAATTTACATATGTATTTTTTTTTCCCCCTCCACAATAGGATATTAATAGGTTGACAAGTTAAATTTGTCCAAACGATAAGATGTTAGGAGTTAGTAAGTTAAATTACAAGAAAAGGTTCGTAATTACTCTATCAATTCGAATCTTGAACCTCTATATGGACAACTAGACCAATTGTTCTGATCATTTAATCAATGTTTTTGTTTCACCTGCTAAGAGAATATTTATAATTGATTCCTTATGGGCTCATCAAAAATTATTTATATATAGTTAGCGTGTCGTTATCATCTGCTAAGCAAATATTCATTGTTGATTCCTTATTTAAACATAGTCATTGAGAAAATAATGAAGATAAATAATGTCGTGTTGTTTATTTTAGTAATATTAAATAAGAATAATAATAAAACAATAAAAATGCAATGGGTGATATATAATTGGACGAAAACTCTAATGGTGAACCAGGTTAGTGAGTTGGCAAATCAACATTGAGTCAAGTGTGGGTTGTGACATTAGGATGAGAGTCATATTACGAGATTGACAAGGAGAGGTTGGAAGTAATTCAACTAACCCTAATAATTAATACCGACAAAAAATTTAAAAAAAAAAGAGATTAATTAATTAAACCATCAAAGGTAACCATCATTTGGGTATTGGAGTGTCTTTGCTTTCATTAGCACATCCAATTATCTGACTTAGGCAATCATATAATCTATAAGAGGATGCTGTTTGCCACAACACTTCAAAAAAATATTTATCACATTTCATAGAATAAAAAAACCCCACATTTAAAAAAAAGAAGTTATTATTATCTTTCTCAACTTGCATTCGATTTTTGTTTCGAGCGCATAAAAAATAATAATAAAGAAAAACATCCTATTAGAGATTGTTTCCATTGTTGTTTGAATTTTTTATGCGTATGTAAAAAAATCGAGAAGTTTATAATTTTAATTATTAATATTTATAATATTTATCATTTATTGGTAATTAATTTTTCTGACAGCCAGTGTTTTGTTATTTCCCCACTCTATAATACAAGTTTGTACCATATAGTCTCCTCATGATTTTTGTAACTTTTAGTTATGATCACTTGTAGATTTAATTATGATTTAGTTATAATTTATTGTGATTATTATTTGAGAGAATTACAATTCAGTGTGTAGGACCAAAAAAAGTTAACAAAACATGAGGGGTGCAACTCAAACACTATGAGTGGGCAACTCTGAGTTGCACCCCTCCATGTTTGTGTAAATTATTTTTGTTTGTTCCACTGAACCATAATTCCCCCTTGTTATTTTGATTATGATTGGAGAAGTTTTTAGTTTTTGGTTATGCCTCAAGTTATGTTTGGTTATGATCCTTGATTATGATACATTGTGGTATGAGTTATGACTCGGTTATGACATATTGTGATTGTAATTTTGGTTATAACCAAAGAAATTTTTGGGTATGCCTAAAAAACATTTGGTTATGATCTGTTTAGTTATGACAAAAATTGATTTAGTTATAATACATTATAGTATCAATACCGCAAAAGTCATAATTTCTATATAATATACATCCGTTTTTGAGTGTGTACTATAGAATTACTCAAATTTACACATCACAATTTTTTCTCCTAAACATTCTTAGTTAGATTTTCATCACAATGGATTTGGCCTAAATTCATCGGAACCCCATAATATGTGCTTAGTTTGAAGAATTCAACTCCATTCAAAAGATATAAGAACTTAGGTTTAGTGAATTGCAAGTTTCATTCAAGTTTTAGTTAACTGGAGAGATGTTGACAAACATCAGTGTTTTAGCATTACCACCAAGTGAATCACTCATTAAAATTGTCTACTTGTGATTTCTATACGTAGGGCTGAAAAAAAAATTGAAAAAATCGCAAACTAATTTAACTTATACTAAACTGTGCAATTTAGTTTGGTTTTCTCAATACATGGTTTAGTCCTAATTCTTAAAATAAGTGAATTGTACTTCACAGTTTGGCCCGTTATTTATTGAAAAATCTAGATTTAGTGCGGAAAACTCTTTTGGAAAATTTAGATGCGTCCCGTTTAACGTGATTATCGATATATGCTATCCAAATTAAAAATTAAAACAATCATGATCAATGTAAATGAGAGAGAGAAAGAGAAAATTAATCCACGACATAAAATTATTTTTACGTGGAAAATCACAATTGAATCCAACTTGTGATAAAAAATCACGGACTTTCGGCCAGACGAATAATTCACTATGCAAGAAAGGTACTATAAGAAATTTCTTACAAAGGCCAATCCAAGCAACACGAGTCCATTTACCAGCACACGCCTTTGCTCACTCTACAGATACCTCTGCAATCTCCACTGGATTTCTTCCACGGTTATCGAATTGCCACGACGTCAATGATTTCAGAATCCACCGAAATCTATAATATTGGAATCCATCAAGAAGGTTTGTTGAATCACACGACGCCAATGATTATGGAATCCACCAAAGCCTACAATCTCATAATCCATCAAGAAGGTTCACTTTTGAAAAGGTGTGACGAACTTACAAAGCTTGATGATGATCTTGAAGCTCCTATGAACTAATGAATCATCAAGCAGTTGAGAGCATTACAAATAAACCTCACTACAAAGTTCACTCTCAAAAACAAATACTCTCTTACAAAAATAAATCTCTCAAATCTCTCTACAAAAATGTATGCTTACAAGATAGGGAAATATTCAGAAGAGTTTGGGAGAGAGCACTTAGAAAACTATTCGAGAGAGATACCAAACATTTCAGCTGAGTTTAATTTAAACAGGCCTGGCCAACAGTACCTTGCGACTATGGTCCTCTAGGTCGCGAGCGCGACCATATCTCTTCTAGGACTGAGACTCCTTCGTGGGATACAGATAACTTTTGAGAATTGAATTTTCGGAGTACCACGGTCGCGGGTGTGATGTGTATTATCGTAGGTGCAAATAAGCGTGCATGTATAGCTGCCATCTGTTGAAGACTTTTTGGTCATTCACTTTCTTCCACAATTTTCACAATTTCGGCCATCTCCATTTGATGTCACGTCATTCCATAGACAATGTTAGGTCCCTACTTGTTGTCAATTCCGTAAACAAACTTAGTTTAATAGAGTTGTAATTTTTCCTTGGTTTTTTCTTGTCCTGCTCGAGCGGGCAAAGATGCGCTCAAGCGGAGTTTGGACCTTCTTAGTAATTTGGCTTGTTTGTAAAACTACTGGGAGGTGTGTTTTTGCGCTCGAACGTGAGTGCTAGCACTCGTGTGTAGTTTTGTTTTATCGCATGCGTTTTAGTGACTCTGTACGAGCGGCAAGTCCTGCGCTCGAGCAGGGTATGCGGCCCCTGTTTTCTATATATATGTGTTTAAGTCTGTTTTTAGGTTTAATGCTTTTAGATTTGTTTTGGGGGCTCTAGGGTTTTCTTTTGGGGCTGTTTTGCTAGTTTTCCTTTGATGTTTGCTTGAGTATTAAACTCATATGGTTTGGTAATTCACATCAAAGGGTTGTTTGAGTGATCATCTTCAAGAGTGTTCTTCTTCGGTGGAATCCGGAGATTCAAGATTGGAGTGTTCGAAGGTGTTCGAAGTTGTGCGCGGTCGTTGAGTCGACGTGGATGTTGTGGAATCAGCATCGATCTAATCAATTATGAGACGAAGGTTACGGTGGAAGATATACAAATCGTTGAAGACAAATTGATAGAGTTTGGGTAATTTGTTTGGGTATTTTGTATTCTTTCTTTCCTTCATAGTGAATTGATTTGTGGCGTTTCACTTGTGGGTTTTTAATCACAATTGAAGGTGCTCCAATAGTGATTTTTTTCACGTAAAAATCGTTTGTGTTTATTTATTGTTTCTGAAACAACAATCTAAATCATTTTCGTACGTGCTTGACGATTTAGATTGTTAGTTTTAATTGTTTGGGAATTGATACAATTAAATCTTGATCTAATCATGAATCACTTAGGTTTTTCAATTGGTATCAGAGAGGATCACTATTTTTTTTTTATCAAAACTATAAGAGTGTGATTTTGTCTGATTGGTGATATGGATTCAATTCGCGAAGGTAACTCGACCCATAGACCTCCATTACTTGATGGTACAAACCATTCTTATTGGAAAGCTCGTATGAGAGCGTTTTTAAAATCTATCGATGAGAAAGTTTGGGGCTGTGTGA